CCTGTGCCCCCCCTGCCAGGCCCCCCGATCCCAGCCCCTCCCCAGGCTCATGCCGGCCAAGCCTGACCCTGAGCTGGGCCCTCTGGGCGGGAGGCCAGGGTGGAGACCACACCCTGCAACACAGCCTGGGGGAACCCAGGCAGGAAAGGGCAGAGGTGAAAGGGCAGAGGTGAAAGGGCAAAGAGAGAGAGGGAGTGGGCAGTGCTGATGCTGCAGCTCCCAGTCACTCATGGGCCAGAGGAGGTGCCACTCATCCCAATAAATTAGAACCCGCCCCCCCACTACCTCCCCAGCTCAGCTTGGGCAGCCGGGGCCAGACGCTCTTGGGGGACCGGCAGGCACCACCCAGGCCCTGAGCCCGGCTCCCTCCAGGCCCGGCTGCCCAGCACCGCCCACTGTGCTTCCGTGTCCCTGCGTAAGACCCCCCCCCCGCAAGAGTCCAGCAGCCCCCAGGGCCAGGCACTGGCCCTCAGGGTCCCCCCACCACGGGTCTCCCTCACAGCCCCTCCGAATGGGGGGAGGCAGGGCAGGCAGATCCCCCAGGACCTCCTGCCACTGCTGGGCCCTGCGGAGTGACCGAGGGTCAGCTCGGGGTGGGCTTTGTTTTCTAATGACCCAGGAGGCCAAGGAGTGGGGCCAGCCCTGTCCTCCAAAAGCTGTGACCGCATCTGGGCACCACCAGCCACTGCACGGAGCCCCCATGGAGTCCCCCCGCCCCCAAGCACCTCAGCGATGCCCGTGGCTGAAGTTGTGGGTCAGAGGCAGCCAGGCGAGACCTGCGGGAGGCAGGCCCCCCCACTTGGCCCCAGGCTCTCCCTCCTGCCCCTGCCCCTCCCACAACAGCCTCATCTGCCTGGCACAGCCCTGCCTGTGTCCCCCGCCCATGCCCAGCAGCACTGAGCTCAGGACAGGCTGCGGGGAGGAGGCCGAGGCCCCGCAAAGGCCCCAGGACGTGCCAAGGAGGATGGGGCATGGGCTCTCCCAGCCCCCAGGGCCCTCACTCTCAGACCCAGCGCTCATCCACCCCACACGGCAGCACCCACACTGGCCGGGTGACCCCCGCTGACCAGCCTTGCCCTGCTCTGCTGCTGCCAGACCCTGGCTCTGCCCCGGGTGGGGGTATCTGCGTGCCCCGCTGTCCTGCGGACCCCGACCTTCCTGCTGGGACCAGAGGCCTCACAGCCCAGCCTCCGTCCTCCAGTGCTGTCCACGCCCCGCGGGGACCTTCAGCCCTGACCTGCCCGCAGCTGCGAATGGGTCTCCGCTTTGGGCAAATGGATGAGCGTCTTCACCCCAGAGGCCCGCCCTCCAGGACGCCTCTGGCATCTCCGTGCTGGGCGTCCTCGAAGATTCGACGGTGCCTTGCTTCCCTGCCTCCTGTGGCCCCGCCAGGCGGGGGCCTCACCCACGCGGTCCCCACGCCGTCCTGGGCGACCAGTCCTGTGTGGGCATCGGGCGGCGTCCAGCCGCTGACCGAGGCCGCGGTAACTGTCGGACCCGTTCTCTCGTCCTCGGCCTTGCAGTTGTTCCCCAAACGTCTGCAGGGCCCACGCTGTCTGCACAGCTGCCCTCGGGGTAGCGTGGATGGGTGGGCTTCGCCCTGCCCCCCTCCGGGTCCCCTCCTGGGGCTCGGGCTCCCGCTGAGCGGGCACTGGGTCTGCACTCTCCCAGCACCAAGCACTGGCCGGTGCCGCCGACATCCAGGCCTGCATTCTGCCGTCCACCGTCCTGCAGGCCCCGCTCGATGCACCAGGCCCCCTGGGCAGGCAGGACCCAGACTTCCCTGGCTTCACCCCAGGCTCGCCAAGGGCTGGACAGAACACGGTGCCACGTGCCCACGGGCAGTGCTGAGCCGTCTCGGGCTGGCTCTTCCCAGCGTCTCCCCAGCGTGGGAGTCCCGTCTGCAGCCTGTGGGTGCCCAGGACACCCCCGGCCTGGGGAGCAGCCCATCCCGACAGCCAAGTCTGGGGACTTCTGGGGACGGCTCCCGGGACCCTCTCACCTTGCTCTCGCCCTGGACTGACCTCCAAGCCGAGACCACGGCCGGGGACATGAGGCCGCCTGGCCATGGCCTGCCACAGGGTCCTGCCTTCTTCCCGGCTCACACACAGGCCCCTCCTCCTCGTGGGCCCTTGGTCACGTTCCGAGCAGTTTAGAAAGTCACTTTCGTGGTCAGAATTGTTCCCAAGAGGCGTCCCAGACGCTGGCCAGGCCCCAGACGTGTCCTCACGGTTCTGGGTTCCTCTCCGCGCCAGCAGCCGGCATCCCACGGCCCTCCCCATCTCACGAGCCATATTGCTTTTTAGGGTTTTAAAACTGGGCTGTAAACACTTTGAACGTTGTTTTCCAGGTTTGATAAGAGACGCCTGGCTTCCTCCTCCGAAATGAAGAATCCGCCTCCTCTTCAGAGGCCTCGCCGCCTCCTCGGTGGGAAGAGGTCACGGAACCGCTCCCACGGGGCCTCCCTCCCCCAGGGACCCCCAGGGGCCCACACGAGGTTGCCCATCGGACATAGGCCCTGGGGGTCACTGGTCAGGGAAGGCCCGCCCAACCCCAAGGGACACGCAGCCCCCCCAGAACGGGCTTCTCCCCACGAAGCCCGAGGTGACCCCAGACTCCATCCTGACCCAAAGCACCAACACAACAAACACCGGTCTCCCCTCGGGGCCCAGGACCCCTGGAAAGAGGCACAGAGGGTCTCCCCACGGGGACGGCTAGGAGCACCCCTCCTCCTGGTCACCCTCCTCCCGGTCTGGCTCTGAGAGGAAACTGGGCATCGCAGGGGGGGCCCCAGCGCAGAGCCCCCTCCCCCGGGCCAGGTGAGCAAAGGGAGGTGTGATTGGCTTGTGGGGCAGGTGGGAAT